AGCTGCGGGGTAAGCATCTTTTTCCCTTTCTCTGTGTCCCCCAAGTTCTTCCCTGATGCCCAGGCATCTGTGCCTGTCTTAGGTTGCCCCTCCTATCGAGGGGGTCTTACCTGTTATTGACTAACCAGTCATCCTCCCAGGCCAAGCAGGGTGATGTGTGGGAGGCAGGGGCAGGGCCCCTGCCAAGGGGTCAGGTTTTGTCTCCTCAGTGGCCTATTTTCCCAAAGCCTCCTTGCTCAGCTCCAGCCTTGGGGCTCTCTTGCCTGTTGGCAAGGCTACAAGTTCCTGAAACTAGATGGAACGTTTCCCAACAGGTTTCTAAGTCTTGTTTCCCAATAATAGGAATCAGGTCTCTTTGGAAAAAAATGGTTGATTGAGGCAGGCAAATATAAGATTGAGGTTGGGGAGTGCAGAGTACAAAATTAGCCCAGGACATTTTTTTGCTGGAAAGTAAGGAAATACAAAAAGAAGGGATAAGTAAATTGGAAACAGGAGACATTAAATGGCCACTGGCCAAATTTGGGACAATTTTAACATTGAAACTGAGGATGAGTTTTTCTCAATGGTATGTAAGGATCTTGAAAGTCATCATTGCCATTTATCTGTGTAATAAAAAAAAATAAACAAAATGAAAATCAACAACTATTTCTTCTTAGATCCATCAGAGAATTGAGGTCACAGTACAAATTACTGCCTCCAACATTGGAGAGAGAGACAGGTGGATACAAAGAATTACGACTTATTGTAATTCTAGGAACAGTAATACCTGAGCAGAAACCTCAGATGGGACCATTAACAGGGTAAGTAAACCGAAATTGTAATTGACAAATCAATGGAGGCAAAATGTAGACAAGTTTAAGATTAAAAATCTCCCAGGTGATGCAGATTTTCTGAGGGTCCAGATTTTGAACTGGGTCTTCAACCTGACTTGGATATTAAACTTGAACTTTACCATGACCTTGTCCATAATTCAAATCCACTTCCTGCCCCAGACTATTCAGTATGTCTACTTATGAAAGTGAACTTGACATATTCCTCCCCCTTATTGAATGTTCTTCCTTCCAATTAAATGAACAATAAAGGAAGCAAATTCTGCTCAAAGGGGACTGCTCTGTCCGTGCAGTATCCCATTCTGTCTCACTGCTTCACTAATAAACTACTTTCACTTAACCTCTCCTGGCTCCTATTTGAATTCTTTTCTGCTTAAAACCAAGAACACACAGTAGGTTGTGGACTCTCAGTCCTGCAGCTGACTTTGTCACCTATGTTGACATTACTTTATAGAAAAATCCCAGATGCTGACCTCAGCTCTGCTTAGGGATAATTCCCAATGATAATCTCATTTCCACAGCTGAGTTCATCTCTGATGATGATCTCAAACCTGCACATAGAATCACCTGTGATAATTTCAATGTGTAAACTGTGTTCAAACCTGAAGATTAACTAATCCTTACAGAAAAAAAAAGTCCCCAAAATGACCTCAGCCTGGTAGACAAATTGATTTTGGAAATTGACCTCATACAGCAAAAAGGTATATACTTGACCAGGCCCTTAGCCAAAGAACTGGATTCATCTCCAGTGCTGCCCTCAGTCTCACAGATGTCTCATCCACGAGTGAGGGTGTTCCAAGTGTGAGAACTCTAAGACTCTTGAATAAATCTTTATTATTTGTTTCTAGCTAAAGCCTCCAAAATTTTTTGAGTTTGTTTGACAGTTCTCATCAGGAACCATGTCTTTAAATCCTTAAACTCCTTGGATCTGAATAACATTATACACTGATGAGCATTTTCTTCCACAACACTCTTCCCCTATTGCAGAGAAGAACACTATATTCTCATTTTTTTCTTATTTCTCTTGATGTCTCCCTTCTGTCTCTGCATTATAGAATCATTCTCTTCTAACTAGTCACTAAATGTTGCACAAACTCAGGCTTCCTGGGCCCTCTCCTCCACTTTCCTTTTTTCTATTAAAAGACCTATTTTCCTTAATATTCTCTCTTCCACTCATCTTCACCCCCAAATTTCCTCACTTATCGCTGGATTAACTGCTATCCATCTTTGGATCTCAGCTTAAATAATATTGATTAAAAAAATCTTTCCTGAACTTTTGTCTTGTCAGACCTCTGTATTACTTGTGTAAGTTGGGTCCGAGCCAGATTGCCTAAGTTCAAATCCTGGCTCAATCACTCACTAGACATAGGACCATAGGAAAGTGGAGAAACCTCACAATGTAACTGAGTCCATGCTTATATGGCATGCTGCACAACAGCCAGAGTTAAGTGACAAGGCACTGGGGGCAAGGGAAACAACTTTACTTGAAAAGCTGGCAAGCTGAGATGGTGGGCTATTATGATAAAGAATAATCTTAAGAAAGTACAGAATTCAAGCTTCTTTTATATCATGGAAATGGGAAAACAGGGTGGAAGTAGTTTGAAGTTGATTGACAGGCTAAGACATCTGAGAGCCAGCAGGGAACTGAGGAAGATTATGAAACTTGTTCGTTTAAGTCTCTTGATTCTAGTTGATGTGAATCCAGTCATCAGGTTCCTGTCGATCTTTGATGAACAATCATTATTTTTGCACATACTTCCCTTACCTCCTCAGGAGAGGCAGTTCTGGTAAGGGGCTGTTTTTGTAAGACTCAAGATGTAATCAGAATTCCTTCTGATGATTAGCATGTAAGGCCATGGGAAAAAAGCAAGCTTAAACAAGATGGAGTCAGAGAGGCTGAGTATTTCACTGTTACGATAACGCCTGAGTTTCCTAATTTCAAAACAGGATAATAGTATTTATTGAATCAAGTTGCTGTGAGGTTATTAATGAGTTTACAGATGTAAAATGCTCAGAACATGGCATAGTGAGTGATTGATATTAGCTCTCATTATTATATCCTTTTACAGCACTATGTGCTTCTTTTGCAGAACTTACAGAACTTTGCTACTTATTGGTGTGATTTTGATTAACTCTCCCCAGTGGACCCTTGATACAGCAAAGGTGAGTGCTTTGCCCACAAGTCTATCCCCTATATCTAGGTTGGGGCTTAGTATTGTAGGTATGCTGGGTATTCTCTACTTGTCCCTCCAGATCCACTCTCTACCCTCACCTGATTCTGTGCCCCAGGAGGCTGAGACATCTATGGGCCATCCATAAATGACACCCCTAATTATTTGACTTTTGGTTGGGTTTGGCTGTTGGAAGACACTGGCAGGAGGTAGAAGGGTGTGTGTAGAATAAGGTTAGGGTGTCTACTCCCATGGCTCTCTCCTCAAGGCCATAAGCTGGTAGTAGTTATATTTCTTGACTAGACACCTCCTCTCAGGCACCCACTCTTAATCACTTTCCAGTTCAAGTGAATGTGTATGGTGGTAGCATGTCCCCACTGTGTGCAGGCACAGGGTGCTTCATTGTCCCCTATATCTGTAAAATGTCTCTTCCTTAAACCCTGCCCAATTATTCAGCTGCTGTCTCTTTCCTTCTGGGACACTGACTGATACAACAGCTTTTGTCCATATTTGTTGAATGATTTTTTACCATATGGAGAACAAAAATTAATAAACAGAAACCTCATTTAAAATGGAGTTTGGAGGGTAGAAGAGAGAACACTAATTTAAGTCACTCAACACACACTACTGAATCCAACAGAAAGAGATGCATCTTGCAACTCCAACTGGAAGTGATACTGCTTTACTACCTCAGTAGGAGGAAGAAAGATTCCTTGGCCAGTAACAGCTCAGCCAATGGGAGACTGCTGTAAGTCAGCCAATGAAAACTCACTATACTACAAACTTTCAGTTTTTTTTAATAGACTCTTCACTTACAACAGCCTTCCCACAACCATAAGTGTTCCTCTCCTTTGTATGGTCACCATTAGACTGCATGTCTCAAATTGCAATTCTTTGTTGTTCCCAAACAAACCCATGTTGCTGGAGAAATACCTGACTGTTCCTTTGTTTAAGGTCAACAAAAGATAATAATTCTCTGTGCTAATCATGGCTAAAGTTGTTATGATGAGCAAATAAGCAATTAGTGAGTATGTGTGTGTGTCTTTATATATATATATATATATATTTTGTCTTTTTTTTTTTTAAGTCAGAGCTCTGGAGCAGTGGTTCTCAAATAAAAGAGTGTATCAGAATCACCTACAGGGCTGGTTAAACATTGCTGGGTCTAGGGGAAGGGAAGATGTGTAATCTGCATTACTAACAAGTTCTCTGGTAATGTTGATTCTTCTAGGCTTGGAGAGTACAGTAATGACAAACATTGTACTAGAGAAATGCCAAGAGGTTTTTGTTACACATAGACCCAAGTCTTATGATTGCGTTAATATTTTTATAAACACAAAATGCCAAGTGATACATATTGTATGCTTTATTTCACACTTTTCTGATTGCCAAAACCTAAACAGAGGTTTTTGCTTAAAAAAAGAAAAAAGAAAATCAAAGAAAAGAGAAAAAAGTAAAAAAAAAGAAAGAAAGCAGTGATAAGAATAAAAGCTGGGAGCACATGAGGGGGGATGTGTAAGGCCCTATCCTAGAAGGCTGCACACATTTGCAGCGCATGCCAACAGAGTGGCCCGTGGAACAGGACCTGGTGAAGACAGCAGTTAACGTAGGGTTCAGGGAGTCCTGAAACCTGAGCACACAAGGATCTTTTTCCTGTTCTATCCCAACTTGGCTGCATTGCATGAAACAGGGCCACACATCCCCCAAAATGCACTGACATCCCTCTTCCTCCAGGACCTTTAGGCCTGAGCACCTTGCTTTCCACATAGATGTGCACTCATTCACACACTCGTCTAACACGTAGGCACATGCAGTCATATTCACATACATAGAGTGCTTCTAATTTTAGACTCCATGACAGACTCAGTTTCCAATGCCAGGGTGAAAGTGTATGTGAGTCTCCTTAGCAGACCGACATAGGGCCTCTTTAGAGGCAGGGAGACCTAAGGACCCAGCCAAGGAAGAACCGAATTCTGTACCACAGTGATGTGAGGAAAAATTTTATTGATTAACTGGAGCTGCCTGGTCTCATTAGGAAGATCCAGATGCTGATTTTGAAATGCTATCCAGCTCTGCTTCACTCTGCAATAACGAGCTGATAAGAAAACAGAGTGCTAGGAGGCCAGTCCCTAGGAGGTCCCCTAGCCCTGTGAGGTAGGGGATACAGTGGTTGTCAGGATCCAGGGCCTGGTGCCATGTCAGCCGAGCCATCACTTCTGCCAGGTACAGCAGGATTGTCACCTGTCATAAGAGCAAGCAGACATGAAAGACAAAGACCAAGTCAGAAATTTAAGTGTTATTAAGAAACACTAGCAGGTTTCAAGGGCAGACACTGAGGTGAACATGTCAACCCCAGGTAGTCCTCTTTCCTGAGCTTCTCTTGGGGTCTGATACCCAGCTATGAGCTCTTGCAGGGGCCAGAGAAGTCCACCCTCTTCCACACTTGCTTAGCTCTCCTTGCATCCTGAAGTGCCAGACAGATCTGCTGCTACTCATTAGCCTTGACCTCTGGTGTAACAGCTCCACTCAACATCCTTGGAACCTTAGACACAAAAATTGCTGAGACTTGAACTTGGGTTTTCTGCAGGCTCTCTCATGAATAGTTTTGCATAGTTGGCTTTTCCTGAAGGTGCTATGGGGTAGTTCACACAGCCCTCATCAGGTCTCATAGCTTCTCAGTCCCTTGTTGCAGGCTGACCCCAGCCCCTTTCTGCTGTTGTTCAGGATGGTTTCTCAGACTGCCCCAGCCTGTCCTTCAGAGTCAGGGACATGCTATGACTGCAAATGCAATAACTCAGGGATACTTGAAAATGCTAGTCCCTTAGAACTAGCATTACTGTGTACCCAACAGTGCCCACAGCAATCCCTTCAGAGGCCCCAGGTCCAGTGGGACACCAACCAGCTCTAGTCTTGGAGTCTTGGCAGAGTCTGTTGTGTCCTTAATCTTTGAGACAGGTACCAGCAGGCACCGGCTTAATTTTTCATGTCCTTACTACCATCTGGCACTGACTGATGTCTTTTAGCAACACCTCAACAGAGATCTGGTCCCTGACCACCCACTGTCTGTGCTGAGTGATGCACTTGGGCCAGTTCATCAGCTGGACCTTATAGTCAGATTGCTTCATAGCAACATTCTGCATTTTCAGGATGGCTCCTCTGGTCCTGTGGTGAGGAGTGAGCTGTATGCAGTAAGAACTGTGCCTTGTAAAGGGTGGAGTAATGAGTGTGCTGTGTGGAAGATGACCTATGCAGTGTGCAATGTGGAGTATGCTATGTGGAGTATGCAGTACAGAGTGTCCAGTATGGAGTGTGAAGTGCCCTCTGGGTCTGGATCATGCCCTTGGATTTGAACAAGTTAACTTGATGGGGACTGTGCCCTGTATGTCCAGGAACACCCAACTCCACCTCATTAGCCTCTCTCCCAGGGCAGCGGACAAGATTGCTGGCTGCCTAACCACTGACTGCTGCTTTGCTGCTGCAACAGCTGTCCTTACCTGGATCAGGCCTGCTAGCAGATAGAATGCCACAAAGATCTTGCTGTTTGGGACCGAATGGCCTTCTACCAGGTAGGTAACATAGAAGAAAATCAGATGGCCCGGAATCACCAGAAAGATCAGAACTCGAGCTGATACGGAGTTGATTTCTGGAATAAACAGAACCAAGGAGGCTGTGTGACTTGCCTGGCAGCAGAGGCCACCTTGGCATGTGACAGTTTGTAAGGCATCCACATTCATTCAGCTATTTCCTGAAGGTGCCAAAGGGTAGTTCCCATAGCCCTGGTAGACTATGTTGTAGTCATGTTTCAGCAGATGGGAATATAGTTCTGTCCCTTCCCTCATGGAGCTGACACTTTAAGAGAAAAGAGAAAAACTGGAATTGAGTAGCAGAAACACACAAACAAACAAGAAAGATCATTTCAAATTGTTGTAAGTACTGGTAAGAAAATAAATCAGGGTAATGTGGTAGAAAAGAAAGTGTCTATTAGTGGGAATGAGTTACTGCAGATTGGAAACTCTTAACAAGGAAATGACATTTAAGCTGAGTTCTGAATCTGTGGGGAAAAGATTCTGGTCAGAGAGAGAATGTGTAAGGGGCTTAAGGTGGAAAGATCCTGAAAATGTCGAAAAACAAAGGCTCAAAGTGTGGAGTTAAGCAATCGAGGAGGGTGGTGCACTGATGGGGCCTTCAGCACATTGGTTAGGTGGGAGTGATCACCCCCCTATTCTCTTCAGAATCCAACACTCTATGAATTTGAGACTGCAAGAAATGTGATTTACCCTTCCTATCTCTTGAAAACAACTTGTGAATATGATGGGCTTTTCAAACACAAAGAGTTTCAATGAAAAGTAAGTCTCCATTTACTTATGAGTTAATATAATGTATTTTATCAACTTAATAAGGAAAAGGACAAAAATCACATGTAGCTTAGAAACTGAAAAGTCTATTATAAAATAATATGTAGAGAAAGAATGTAAACATATAAGAGCACCAAAATCTATTCATGATGAAAAATTAGACAATGTGTAGAAAAATCAGGCAAGTTGTTAAAAACTTAAAGAGTAAGCAAAATAACTATTATTAGCAGCTGACATAAAAACTCAAGAAAATTTATGGAAAGCCACATAAAGTATTTAGGTGCTGCTACAGACTGTTTCCCCCCAAAATCTCACAATATATTTGGAGGTGGGGCTTTTGTGAAGTGATTAGGTCCTGAGGGTGGAATCCTCATGAACAGGATTTGTGCCGGTCTAAAAGAGACCCCAGAAAGCTATCTCACACCGTCAACCACATGAGGACACAGTGAGATGACAGCTGTCTATGAACCAGGAAGCAGGCCCTGAACAGACGTGGATCTGCTGGTGCCTTGGTCTTGGACTTCCAGCCACCAGAACTAAAAAAAAAATAAATAAATTTCTGTTGTTTATACACCATCCAAAATATGTTTCTGTTACAGTAGCCTGAACTGAGACAGATACATAAATGATACATAAAGTACATACTTTTTCAATATATAAATTATAAGTCAAAATATAATGGGGACTTCCATTTGTAGACAAGATGGAATAGACACCCTTATTCATATTATTCTCACTAAAAACAACTAAAAACCCTGGACATTACATATAAAACAAACATAAGATTTTGAAAGGTGGAGAAAAAGGTCAAGTTGGCTAGGGACCTCAGGGTCCAGGGAACAACGTAGTAGTGAATTCCCCAAATTGGTGTCTTTGGCCTCATATATCCCAGACTGGGTTCTGGAGAATTCAGTAACCAATGGGCACTGTCCTAAAAAGGCTCAACAGAAGTTGGCTTTCTCTTGCCCAAGGTCCAGAAGGGGGTAGCCTAGCAAAATGGAAAACTTTTAGACAATAACTGCTTTATTCCAGCCAAATACCACAGCAGTCCCACCTCTATGAGCAAAGGCCAAGTAAGGAGCCTGGGCTTCTGTTCGCCCTCATCCAGATAGGATGTTGATATTCACCCCTTTTGGATGAAGTCATAAAAGAAAAGGCGCAGTGGTAGAAAATAAGTGGTACTCTGCCTAGAGGTAATGAGGACCCCCCTACTCCCCTGACTCTCACCATATCAGTGAAGGCCATGTGGGAGCAACAGTAAGGCCTCCCAGCAAAAGTGGTGTCAGAGGAACATGGACTCCTACTCTGCTCACTGTAAGGAGGTACTTTTTTTCCCCTGGGGCATCACTGGAGAAGCCCAGGGAATCTGGACTTCTAACCCTACCTGACAGAAATGAAAAGCAGTGCATTCTATTTCCCCAAGTGATTCATAAGATCCAGAGTCTTATAACATAATACTCCAAATGTCTGTGATTCAATCTAAAATCTCTCATTATAGAAAGAAAAATCTCAACTTAATGAGAAAAGACAACCAACAGACACTAACACTAAGATGACACAAATGGTAGAATTGTGAAAGTGGTTTTAATGAATCCATTTTTAAAATGTAATTTTAATATTGTAATAACAATGTATGGTAACAGATGGTACTAGGTTTACTGGGGTGATAGCAATTACAAACACACATGACACTCGTGATAAAAATAGAAAATCTTTGAAAAGAAACAGAAATCTCAGAAAAGAAGATAAATAAAAGAACCATATGGAAATTTGAGAACTGAAAAAATACAATAGCTAAGAAAATCCAAACACCTCAATGAAATAATCAATAGCAGAATGGAAAGGACAGAGGAAAGAATGAGTAAACTTGATGAAAAAAAACTATAGAAATTAGCCAATCTAAGTAACAGAGAGTAATAAATACTGGGAAAAAATTAAAGTGCACCTCAGAGAGCTGTGGGGCTGTAACAAAAGATCACACGTTCCCCTCATCAGAGCACCAGAAAGAAAGAAGGAAGAAGGAAACACTGAAAAAGTATTTGAAGAAATAATGGCTTAAAATTTCCCAAATCTTAAATGATAAATCTATGTATCCAGGGAGCTTAGTGAATCCAAGTTGTATAACCCCAAAGAAATCCACACCAATGTACGTCAAACCCTAAGTCTGAAAAGAAAAAGTCTTGAAATAAGCAAGAGAAATGATACTTTATGTATACAACAGACAATTCAAATGATGGCAATTTGTCATCAGAAAACAAGGTCAGAAGGAAGTGGCACATTTTTCAAGTGTTGAGCTATTAACCCCCAAATTTATATCGAGTGAAAAGATCCTTCAGGAATGTGCCAGCAGACCTACCCCAAAGGAATGGCTAAAGGTAGTTCTTGAAACAGAAAGGAAATGATAAAAGAAAATGTAAGCGGGCAAGATCCAATTTTTAAAAGCAACAAATATATAAAAATACCTCCAACGATTTCCAGTGGTTCTCAGAATAAAATCCAGTCTCCTTTCTCAAGCTGTAAGGCCCAATGTGATTAACTCCTTTCTATCTTTCTGCCCTCAGTTTCCTTCATCCTCTCCCTAGCTCATTATGTTCATGTTTCACTGGCTTTTCAGTTCTTCAGACTTGCTAAGCTCCTTCCTGCCTTTTGTCCTTTGCTCAGGCTGTTGCCTCTGCCTTAAATGCTCCTCTTGCTTCAGCATGTTTCCTCCCCAGCCAACCCATGCTCATCCCCACAGAGGAACTTTCAAACCCCAAATGGAAGTATCTCCTGTAATTCTTTTTCATTGTACCCTATACTTTTGGACTTTTAGAACATATCACAATTTGTAATTATGTATTAATTTTTTGGTGTGTTCATCTATTCTTCTAGACTATATATATCCATGGAGGGCAAGAAACAACTTTCTCTGTCACCATTGTAATCTAACACCTAGTACCCAGTAGATAAATTTGATAAATATTTGACTGAATGAACCAATCAATTAAAGGCAGAGGTGGGTCTCTGGGAGAAAGGGCTGTGTCTTCGAAGATGATCTGTGCTGAGGTCAGCAATGGTCTTAGACATTATTGTTGTAAACACCAGATCCCAATGATATTAATTTTTACTTGTTCAAAGAAATGGCCAAATGGCCTCTGAAAGATATCTGACCCACCTGAAGTGCAGAAAGTAGAGCATGGGTTAGGCCAGAATTTTTTCATCCAGAGGGGTAGGACCCCTGGCGTGCTCCACATGTGCAGGTAGGTGGAGATCCGGCTAGTCTGAATGGCCACTAGATTGCCACCAACACCTGCAAGGAGAAAAAGAATCTGGTTTGCCCCTCCTTATGACAGTCTCTGAGTTCTATACCTTATTTTAAGTTTACTTTCTCCAGGAGTTCTTCCTTGACTGACTCAGCATTTGATCTCCTTTCCTTCCCTCCCACTTGACCACAGATCTTGTTTGGTATCAGGTAATAACTGCACCACCTTGACAGCTCTTCAGGTAAAGAAAGCGTGGAAAAGTAGACTCTCAGTACATATTTGTTGGGTAGAGGGAGAGAAAACAGTGAGAAGGGAGGGAATTCAGGAAATGAGGGAGATTAATAGAGGGAGGAGAGCAGACTACTTGGTCTATGAGAGGATATCTCGATAAGGTACTCGAAGTTGGAAAAAGTGACAGGAACCAGACTACAGACTGGAGTATCTGAGAAAACAAAAGGGATATTTTTCACCTCAAGGGAGGAAGGAAAGAGAACAGTGGGTAAGAGCAGCACAGCAGGAGAGGTGATCATATGGTGACAGAGCTGGGGCTCATTGCTGAGGCACCTGGCTTCCACAGGGAGCCGACTGTGTGTCCAGTTCTGCCAGTAGAGGGCCCAGCTGACATAGGCTACACTGAGCTCCTGCACAGGCAGACTGTGGGGCTGGTAGAGAAGGAGATTATAGTGACCATCTCTTTTTGAGACTGAGTTGGGTTGCCCCCATTCTATTTCCTCATCTACATGGAGAACAATCTCTCACTGGGCCAGATGTTTCCCAGTGATCTCCAGGGGCAAAGACCAACTGCCTTGGGCTCCCAGATGATGTAAAAAAGGTCTGTGGACAGAGGATGGCCATAAATCTATTTTGTCTTGCCTACAAATGATTAAAAAAAAATAAAATAACACAAATTAATTGGCAGTATTTACAAAATAGGCCTTTAATACAGATTCCCAGCTTTTCTTAACAAGTCAGCTCGAACAACTCTAAACCTTAGTTCCTACCAGGCAACAATGGGCCAGAGATGAACAGGCAATACTCCTTTTACCCTAGAAACACGTTTTGTTCCCCAACACTCCTTACTGCTTAGCTATTGTCTTACTTGCTTAACTCATTCAAATTGCTTGCTTGTTCTCTATAGGTATTTGAATTGGTGCCATCCAAGGATATCTTTCCAAGCTTATGGCCATCTGGGCCTGATATAGCTCTTGTTGTCCTCACTCACAGTGGCCAGCCCTTGTGCTAGGGATCGGCCCTGTGGGACTATGTTGAGGTGCAGGCCTACTGGGTGGCCTACTGACATGCAAGGAACACAGGCCTAAGTTCCCATGAAAATGGAGGGAGGAGGTCTGGCCCAAAAACCTTTGAAGCCTGTTTCTGAAGTCCCAGGAAGCCAGAGCCTGGGCACCAAGCAAACTGCAATCAGTTACCATGGTTGGTTCCTCCCCTGGCCAGTGGTCCCATTTACATGGCCTCATCAGAAACAAGACATATACCAAGCTTTGGTTAAAAGGCGGGGGGGCGGGGTCCTCACACAAATACCCATAGGATCTAAGTCTAGAAAATTAATCAGTTAAGGGTTGGGTCGAATACAAAAGGGAATGGAGGGAACTGAGGCAAATTGGACAACATAGGTCCTATCTCAGTGGCAGCTGATTCCTGCCCTACCCCCAATGTAAAGCTAGTATTGTTACGGACTTGCTGTTCAAGAATACGGAAATACATATTTTTATGTGTAAATTTTATGAGTTTTAAATGTCACCAATAAATCTTAGTTAAAAATAAAAGTGAAACCATGAGAGGACACTATCCTAGTTCTGAAGGCCACGTTCATTCTGCAGGTGCCAGAGAATCCTGGGTTAAATTCTGTGTACATTCTAGACATAGGTTTTAGTTGGCTCTGTGGGAAAGTGCAGGTCTCATGGCACTTATGAGGAGCAAGGTGTGATCTGGTGGAGCAATGGGCATGGCTTCCCCTCTGGGGTCTCCTTCTGTCTGAAGAAAACCAGCCTCGGTAGACTCTGCCCACCCAGCTTCCTAATTCTGTCTCTGAGGGCCTGGAACTGGACCTCTGACATCAGTTCTGCTCAGGTCTCACCACCTGGGCCCAAAGGGCCAACCCAGCCCAGCGACCTGAGGTGATGGGGTCTGCTAATACCTACCACATATCATGGGAGTAAATATGGCCATTCCTTTGTACTGCTCTTTAGAAATGGTTTTGTTCAAGATGAGCCCTCCGAAACTGAGGAGAGAGCAAATGACAGTCAAATGATTAGAGTTTGCACTTGTAAGTGGCCTTCCAAATATTCTCTATACAAACTGCCTGATCAGGTTGTCTTTTCATCTTAGCAAACACTTTCCTTACCCCTATGCAAAACCCCTGTTGTAGCCAGTCTGCTCTTTCCAGTGTCCTCTGCATCCCACACATGCATTTTCATCTTTAGTCTAATGTTAGCTGTTCTAGAAGGCCCTTCAAATGTCAGTCCACTAAAAGAAAACAACAAACTCCTTTCTGAGGCCTCTACTTGGCTGGCTCTGTCTTGTGAAAGCCCTTGAACTGCAACTGAGATGCTCCTTAGCAGAAAACACACCTGCATGAGTATCATCTCCAGCCCCTTGTTCGTGGAAGATGGTGCAGCAATACCTCACTCCCACTAGTCCCTGTAGTTTAGCACAGGCTGCCCCACCCATAAAGCCTTAAAGAAGTGAGATCAATTTGTGTAAGGGACACAGATACAAAGATACCTAGACCATACCTTCTCCTCTCTCAGAGTCAAAGTTAGGAAAGCACATCAGAAAGGACTATCAAGGTCTGCTAGTGGAAAGAGCCCCTGAGAATGAGGCTGGAAGGTAAAAGACCTGGGCTCAGCTAAAGGCCCAAAGCTACATGGAAATTAATCCCTCAGCCCCTCTAGGTCCCACCAGCAGCTATGCTATGGAAATGGTGTTCACATAGTCACTGCCTTGAGGCCAGGTGAGGGACTCCCTGCAGCCTAAGCAGCGGTCCAGGCCAGTGAGAGCTGTGGCAGCAGGGAAACAGAGACCAATATACCACAGCACCAAGATGAGGCAAGAGCCATGGCTCTGGTGCACTCATCTGATGTTTCCACTTTCAGCTCTTCCTGGCTCTTTGTGCTCTGGAAACTGTAAACAAGACTGCCTCCCAAAACAAACAGGGTTCTTGTTTGTTTTGGTCTAGGGTTCCTGGTGTGAAAAACAGAGATGAAGAGTAAAGAGGTATGACAATTAGCACTGGGGATTAGTGAAGGAACCCACAGCTGCAGTTCACTTCAACCATAGCCATGGGGCAAGTGAGCTTCACCTTCTTCCAGGGGTTCCTTGGCTCTCACACCACTCTCTTTAACATAGAGCCAGGGGGTGGCACAGAGAGGCAGAGAGGGGGCAGAGACTCTCACTCACGCTCACCTGCTGAACACCATTGCTAGGATGATTGGGAACCACCCGAACTTTAGGATCTTCATGATGGGTGGGTTCTGCTTTGCAATGAGGACCCACACCGGGGTCAGGGCCATGAAGCCAATGCAAACCAATGGAGTCAGAAACCGATTATCTGGGAAGAGAAAGAAGAAAAAAGGAGATGCATGCAGCTCTGTGGCCAGGGCCAGAGCACACAACATGGCCTGGTGGGCTGAGGCCTGGGTTGTAGAGATGAGAGGTGGACTGGGAACTAAAGGCTCTAGAGGTCTGGGGAGACACTGCTGTCATCAGCTTAGGGTGCGTTGTCCTACCATACCTTCCAAAGTATTTTCTCCATCCTGTTAAGTAACTCGAAAGGCTCATCTCTGTCTTCAATTCCTGACACCTTCATTTTCACATCTCTGGTTTTGTTATTTCCCTAAGTACCCTCTTCTGCCTCCTCCCACCCAAGTGAGCTCTAGGCAATTATCAAATACTGTGGGAGACAGCAGCCTATAGGAATGCCAACTTGGAGGACATTTTCATATCTAGTCCAATTCTAGAACTCCCCAGAAGCCTCGGCAGAGGTTCCACCTCATCTCCTCCCAGCCCCATGGTGAATACTTCCATTACCCTGCACATGGCTTGTCTTCCTGACTACACTGGCAGATGTGAGAGCTGATAGCTTACACCTTGTCAGAGAAGATTTATGACAATGTGCTAGGTGTAGTGACTCCTGCACCTACCCAGTGCACCAAAGATAAATTCATAATCTAATTGGAGAGATGGACAATGCAACAATGATTCAACATCTAATAATAGTGTTGAAACATACTATTTTAGAAGAGGTACAGTAGGGGCAGAGAGAAAGAGTCTGGGGACATCTGTGACTCATATTTATTTTGCAAATCAAACATGATTAACCTATACACAGATCTTCTTGTTTTAAATTCAGGTTTGGTTTAAAAATAAAATTAAGTCATATTATTAACTCTTCATTGCCACTGATATGAACTTTGAGAATCTCCCAGATTATTAAATATTGTTGGTGGTGCCCTGGCTGGTGTGACTCAGTGGATTGAGCACCAGCCTGCAAACCAAAGGGTTGCAGGTTCGATTCCCAGTCAGGGCACATGCCTGGGTTGCAGGCCATGTCCCCGGTAGGGGGTGCACAAGAGGCAATCACACACTGATGTGTCTCCCCCCTTTCTCCCTCCATTCCCATCTGTCTAAAAACAAATAAATAAAATATTGGTGGTGGTAGGCAATTCGTAGGATGGCAAGGAGCCAGTCCCAGAGCTGAGACAGAAAGGGTCCCAGTGCCTGAGCACTCTAAATCAGAAGTGTTTTCTTGTTCTGCTTCAGTTGCCATCATTTAAAAACAAGGTGATGTCTCAAATCCTTTCATCCATGTTCTCACAGGGCAATGATTAATTGGAGCTCTGCTGAAGCTGCTCCTCTCTCTGGGGCATTTTCTCCCACCAACCATCACCTCATGCCCCTCCCCACTGTCTTCATCATGATGCACTCCATTAATTTAAGCTACCTGCCTCAAAGCATCCGGGTCCTGACTGTGCTCAGAATCAACACTTACTAGATGTAAACAGTTGCATATAGTCATCTTAGTGAGACTGTGCCAGGTGGAAAGTAAACAATATGACACTTGGAAGGGTGTGGTCAGCTGTCAATCTCAGAAGAGGAGAACCTTCTGGGCAAGGATGGTGCTGCCTGTCCACACTGCCCTGAGCATGAGCAAACTCTGTGTTTCAATGGCAGACCTGGGGGACCTCTGGTGAAGGCCTGTTGCTACAAGATGTGTGAATGGCTCCCTCACCTTCTGAACAGGTGGCTGAGGAGCCCTGGCTTCCCCTGCCTCATGCCTACAAGGGAGAGAAAATGCTGCTGCTGCCACCACCCATGACTGAGACATTCCTCCTTGCGAGCTACTTCTTGGACAGTTTATGTGTGTCCAGTGTGAACTGCCTTCCTCAAGGAGGCACTGACATCTGCAAGAATGCACTGAAGTGATCAGACTGGCCTCAGGATGTCCCTGGCCTCTGTGCATACCCTGGTCCTAAGGTGGGAATGAACAACCTGCGTGTCTGCTAACTTGAGTAGTGCATCCCATCTAACATGGCTGGGAGAGCTTGAGACACTTGCTGGACAATACCTTGACTTGTTCAATGACTTCAGGCTTTGCTTCTATAAAAGGATCTCTGACTCCACGACAGGCCTCGCAGGTTCCTTCCTGTGGTGCCTGATTTGAATGGTGTGGGCTGGGTACAGACATTCCCACTCAGCCTTGCTGGTGAGCCCCTCCTCCTCAGGGGTCCCCCTACCTTTGTTTTTATAGAAGAAGTTGCTAATGAAAGCCAGAATGGACAATGTGATAAGGTCTCCCAGGCTGGCTGCAATGGGTGTGGCGATGTTGTCTGGGTTGACACCGAGCTTTTGAGCACCAATCACTATACAGACCATCAGCACTCCTGCAGAGAGCACAGAGAGGAGACTCAAAGCCTGGAGTATCAAACAATCCCAAGGAAGATCAGCAACACAGTAGAGAAGTGGCATAGGATGACAAACTCATCAGGGTGCTGCTCAGGAACTTCCCTTTACCAGCACAAGCCTAGACTGAAGTCAAACCACCTGAGAAGGCTAGGAGTGTTGGACTTTGCTTTGTGGCTTTCTGGCATGATGCTAAGGAACAGCCTGAAAGCTCTGATGACATACATACTCAAACCCATTGTGGTTCCTGGGCTTCTAAGCCATTTGGCACCACAGACATGAAGTTCATAGGCCCTCACTGCAGGAGAGGGACTGAGCATGGACTTGCATGTTTGTTGGGGTCCTTGGAGAAGCAGCTGCCTGGATGGAATTAGCTGGGTCAGTGGTTTGTTAGGGGCAAAGCCTGTGAGGGAAGATGGGAGGGGTAGCAATGCAGGGTGGCGGCCCCTGTGGCAGGAGAGAGGGGAAGAAGGAGGAGGAGCACATGCAGACTGCAGTGCAGTGCTGGGGAGCCCAGCAGGGCTGCCAGGGGTCCCCAAGCCAAAGGCATGTGGATAGGTCCACATCTCTGGGGAACAGGCCCATCTCAGGAGCTCTGCAGGGCCATGAATGGGTGGAGCCAGCATGTGGCCTCTGAGTGCAGAGTTGATAGATTTTAGGGTACAGCACTTAAGACCTGCTCACCAGCTAGAGACCTGAGAGATACCTCTTAAGAGATGCCACCTCTCCAGATCCTACTTTCTGTTCTGTCTCTGTTCTCAGACCATAGTCACATGTGGATCTCTAGCCTCCATCTGCTGCTTAGGACTTAATCCAACTGCATCTTATGTGGGTTTCTAAAGACATTTTATATCTTAGATACTGGTGTTTTAACACTTGACCCAGTATTCTGTAACTCTAAAAATAATTGGAATCATCACTTTAATGTTTTATTTAAAACTGCCACCACCAGTCACAATTTTTGCCCTATTTTGTGAGTAGGTCATAGCTACTTTAATCTCTTTTGAAATATCAGTTCTAAGTGAATCTGAATTTGCATGGCTAAGATGGTGGTCTGGTGAAAATCCCCCCAGGACTATATACAGGGACACCACCCATCTGAGAGCACTTATTGAAAACTACCACCATCACCTGACTTTATGGCACAGTCATGTCATGGTCATACTGTGAGAGAGCAGCCATGTTTCTGGCCTTCCATACATCTCTGGATGGCCCCAATTATGCCCATGCAGCTGATCTTCACCCTGTCTCTGGCTCTCAGTTTCCTCCTCTGTAAACTGGGGAGCGATGGCATTCTGTACAAAGCCCCACAGGAACAAGGCTGGCCTTCTGAATTGTATGACTGTGTTGTTTTCAGAGAAGACTTCATGCCAAGTATCTCCTGGGCTCTGCTTCTTCAGAAGGTTTGGCATACTCATCTTGTCCTTCTCTTGACCAGAATGAGTAATTGTGCCACCCCATGTGCATGCATAGATATGTGACCAGGTGCAAACATCCTGCCCTGGAATCATAGCTTATGAATCTGCTCCTAGGCTTCCACTCTCTTACCTCTCCTTCCCTATCATGTGCCCCAGTATAGGAATACAGCTGTTCCATTGATCAGCAGCTGTCTGAATTAATGTACAGAGAACTGCATTAAGTTACAGAAAGCTGAGCTCAAAGCTGATTTTGTGGGCAGTCAGATGGTATGACAGAGGTGTAAATACAAATCCAATTCATAAAGTTATCACTTGTTCCTTCTTGCACTAGCACATGTTGCAGTATATACAGACATGCAATCCTCAAGAGAACCAGAATCAAGTTCATTAATTCAGCAAACATTTGGGAGCTGGTTATATGCCTGGACCTGTTTTAAGTAACCATTGGGCTCTGTACTCACACTTAAATGCTTGTTTGGTGGAACACAGACAGCATACAAAGAAATGAACAAGCATTTAAGGTAAATAAATAGAATACCTAAAAATAAAGCATGACTGTGAACACAGCTATTCCAGAGAGGTAATCAGACAAAGCCTCAGAAAGAAAAAGGCACTGACATTTAAATGGAATTATCTATATGCTCCTATACTGATGTCTTACTCTGAACTACAATACAGACGTCACAGGATACCTGTGTGTTTTGTTCACACATGTATCCCCAGCACCATAATAGTGCCTCGTCCGCAGTAGACACTCTGTAAATACCGAGTAATAATGAATGGGTGATATTCTATAGTAATTGCACAGCCAAATGGTTCTCTACTGACATACATGAGCTCCAAGGATGGGTTATGGGTGCCAATGCCCCTGTCTTTATGCCTTCTGTAAACACATAGGAAGCATCTGCTGTGTGGCAGGCAGTGTGATAAGAGCATCAGGTGGAAAAACAGGAGATGGGGCCTCCAGCTTGGAGGAACTGACATTGTAGCAGGAAGGTGACACAGAAAATGAACAAAGAAACAAGATAAGTGCAGAGTTTCCCAAGTGTTCTAAAAGGATACTAGCATGGTGCAATAGAGCATGGTCGCAGTGGGGGATGGGAGGGGGTGGAGTACAGTACTTGTGAAGGAATAGTCAGGAAATGCCTCTCTGAAGAGATGAAATTTAAGCTAAAAGCTGAACTTTGCTTCCCACTGTGACTGCAGACTGAAGAGCCCACCACAGGCCCATATGTAAGCCATGCTCAAGAAATGGTTAAGTACTGACTGAATGACTGGATAAATGAATGAATGAATGAATGAATAGATGAACAGATGACTGTGCCTATGGAGCACAGGCCAGTTCTTTAAACAAGCAGAGGGAAGGGAAATGAAGTTAGCAGTTCCCCCTGGCGCATACATCCTGCCCAAGTGGGGGGCTCACTGTCCTCTTCACCTGCCCACAACATGGGTCATGACCTGGCAGTCTCTTCCCCATTCCCCAGCAGGACACCGAGGCTCCACCATTAGTGCTCCATCTTTCGGAATCAAAAGAACAAAGATCTGACAGTGGAGCTCTGAGAAGTGGAGCACGCAACCAGCCAGGAGAAGGAAGGGGCTGGGTGGGGGAACAACTCACCAAGTGCAAAGGCTGCAAGGAATGAGGTGCTGACACTGCTGGCACACAGCAACTTGACTGTTGCAAAGTCCAACTCCCCACTAGACACAGCTCCCAGCAGCAGGGCAGCCATAGCAGCCAGGAGCCCTACGATGGTGGCCTGCACCTGTTGGGCAGAAGTCAGAAACGTGAGAAAGGGTCCCTCCGACCATCACTACCCTCCCTGCCCTTCACCATGCCTCCTCTCAAACCTTGAGAGGTCAGGGGAAAACAAAGACAAACACCTTTCTTCAACCCAATTCCCCCGAAAACTACTACTTTCACCTCTGCTTCTGTTCCATGTCATCTTCAATGACAGAGTCTAGTTCTTCATCTTGTTCTCAGCCCTTGGTCAAAGGCCACCAGGTTCTGGCCCACAGCTCCTCCCTCACTGCTGTGGGCAAGAGGTTGTAACCTCCAACAGCATAGACTGTGGATATGCCCTTGGGGAGATGCTCCCTGGTCTACAGCTACAACTCAGAGGCCTTTGTGCACACTTCCCATTTCTCTCCTCTTCCTTTCCTCCCTTGGCACTTGCCCTGCATGCTGGTGCTCTGTTCTCTGCATTCTTTCCTGCCCCCACTGCAGTTCCCATCTTATCCAGGAGGGTACATCTATGTACCCACTCAGGCCAGTACCAACGGTGCTTATATTTGAGTATTAATATTGGCATCTCCTCTCAGTAGTCTAAAACATCTCAATGGAAACGTGCTATTAAAGAAGGTTGAATAAACAGAATTTTACCATATATATAGATGGGGCAAGTTGGTTCTTTAGAGATGGAAATGCCCTCCAGTTTCACCTATATAATTCCAATCAAAGTTCTAACAAGATTTTTCATGAAACTTAACTGATTTCAAGTTTCACAAAGACAAGTAGATGTGTGAAAATAACCAAAACAATTTTCAGAAAGGTCAACAGTGAGTTTTGGCACGTTATTATCAATATGTATTTAAAGCTGGTAATAAAAACAGGGTACATTGGCAGAAAAACAGAGAGATCAACATGACAGAATTGAGTCCAGGAATAGAATCATGAATATATGAAAATTTAATATGATAAAAGGCATTTGAAATCTATACAACTAGTGAATAGACAGAGTAAAAGAAACTGCATATCTGTTTGGGGGGAAAAAAAAATCCTGTTCTATACCATTCACAAACATGCACAACTAAACTTAAAATCTAAAGTGTGTCCTGGCCTGGTGGCTCAGTTGGTTGGAGCATCATCCCATACACCAAAAGGTTGATGGTTCAATCCCCATTTGGGCACGTACAGGGGGCAACCAATCGATGTTTGTCTCTCACATCGTTGTCTCTCTCTGTCTCTAAAATTATTGCAATAAACATAGCCTCGGGTGAGGGTTAAAACATTTCTTTTTTAAATCTAAAGTGTGAAATAGGAGAAAATATATAATACCAAGTTTTGGATTTTAGATTACTACTACCAAAGATACATCATTTAAAATCAATAAAGAAAACTACAGATAAACTTTTAAGTCCAAGTGTGACTTAAGACAAGATAACACAAAATTCAAAGACAGAGACAGACTTGGAGAAAATATTTTCAACATATATAATAAAGGATTAGTATCAGAATAATGAAGTCCACTTTACAAATCAACAATAATAACATAACCTGATAGAAAAATGCACAAGGGAGGTGAACAGGGGATTCACAGAAGAGGAAACACAAAGGGCCAAGAAACATGCAAAAAGATGACCAGCCTCCCTAGTAGTCAGGAAAATGTTAAATGAAGTCACAATTTGAACGCATCTTATTTATTTGTAACCACTGTTAGCCTTCCTCTATTAAAAGTTACGCAGTGTCTTATTTTCTGCTGGGGTCCTCAGGTCTGAGAAGGGACTGGATCTCAGCCCTAATCTGTGCTCACCAAATAAATGAATGAATGAATCTATGAATGGATGGAATACACTATTTTTACCCACCAGAACAGGTAAAATTAAAATTTTAAAGGTTGATGACAAAAAAATACATATTGACAAATATATGGAAAATGGTCCTTATACATTGATGGTGGTAAAATTGGTACAGGAATTTTGGAGGAAAATTTAGATGTAAATTACCCCTACATCTTATAATCGAGCATTTCCCAGGGAGAGAACTGTAAATGTGAACAAAGAACCACGTAATGATAATGATATTTAGAGCTGCTATTGTCTGAGTGCTTACTATTTGCCATTGTGATTTTCATGTATTAAATCATTAAAAGTATAAATGACAGAATTATATGTATAATATTTTTATTTTTAAAAATACAGAAAGTCACCATATATTGCGTATGGCTATATATATATCCAAAAGTAGTTTAGAAGAATACTTTCAATGCTGGTCAGGTTATGGAGAAACCCATACTTCAAATATTAATACTAGTGCTATAATTTAATACTAAGAAATCAAATATTTTGTAATGCTTTTGGGGAAAATGTGGAGCTTTCATCTGTTCATATCTTGTGAACTTGTAGAAAGTTCTCTTAAGAAATTTGTGCAAAAAAAAAAAAAGAAGGAATTCGTGCAAAAAGAGAACATTTTCATTGCAGTATAATTTAACAAGTAGCAGCTTCAAAACAATTGCAGGTACACCCACAGGGTGTTAGTTAACTGAAGTGGGACAGGGCCAGGTGGGCCACATTTGCATTGGCCTGCTGGCCCAGCTCTCAATAACTGCCCTTCAATCATACTGCGGAATTTCCAGGCCCTACTAGATGTTTATGACTTTAAATACCATTTTGGTTCTATTTACATGATGGAATATACTGAAGTTATTAAAAAGTTTGATTGTGAAACTTATTACACCATTTGTTTTGATGTTTAACTTTTAAAAAATAAAGGGAACAAAAGTATACCCTCACTAACATTTGGACGCTAGCATTATGTGTCAAGCTGCTGCCTGGCCCAGAGCAGGACTTAATAAATGTTTGTTAAGAATCAATCATGTGGAAATGTACATACATACAAACAAGAATTTGGTGTAAAACAGAAAAGTAAAACCAGTGACTTGTAGCTGAAGTACTTATTACATGCCCCTTGTCAGACCCACTGTTAGGAATGTCATGAGCGTCCATTTAATCTCCCAAGTTCTTCACCTACAGGTTTAATTTGCCTGTAATTATCCATATATCTTATGGTATATTACTGGTGGTCCTGGCCCATGAAAATCACCTGAAGTGGAGAAGGCAGACATCTAAACACAGAATTGCAACAAAGGCAACCCCAGCAACACATGCAAGGCACCAAGGAGCTGTACCTGCTGTCAGGTTGGAACTGAGACCTGACTGGAGTCTTTAAAGGGCTTCACTGCCAGGTGAAAAAAAAAAAAAGGACATTCCAAGCAGAGATAACCACATATGCAAGGCATGAGGATGGTAGGGAAGGTGAGACCAGACCATGAATGCCTTTTGGGCCAGGCCCACACTTGGACAAGGGGAACCAACAAAAGGGCTTAAGAAAGAAGAGGACTTATCAGCTTTAGATTTTAGAAAAGTTCGCTCAGGTGGCTATGCAGAGGTGAGCTGAAGGTCAAGAAGCCTGAAGCAGTTAAAGCAGTGAAGAGGTTTGCAGTCAGCCAAGGGACCAAGAGGCTAAGGCAAGGAGGGCAGGGCTGGATTCCAGCATAGCTCAGAGGTAGGATGCTCATTTACTGGCTGAAAGGACAAGGGGCAGAGAAGCTGAGGGTGACTCAGTTTCCAACTGATTAAATGGTAAGAACGTTCTCTAGACATAGCTAGCATGATTGATTAACATGTGCAAAGCAGACATCATGCTTCTCCCATGATCCACAGCTCACAACAACTTACCTTACAGGTAAGGTGAAGTGACCCTGAGGGTCCTCAGCTGGTTGGCTCTCAGAGTGAGCTTTCAACCATCAAACTAGACTGAGTTAGGTACTTCAGACAGTTGAGTGTGAGGAGGGAAGGTGATAGGCCAGATCTGGCTATGCTGTTTCAGGGAGACTTTTGGGACAGGTAGATAGATGCCCAGTAGAGAGCTATAGATAGGGGGTCTAGAGCCCAGATGAGGGGTAAAGTCAGTATCCTCCTAATTTGGTGAACAGGGAGATATGGCTAATTGAGTCTGTGTACCTTGCCCATGCCACCAGTTAATAAATGATGACCTTAACTCCAGGACTGTCTGATCTCAGAGTCCAGGTTGTTTGTGCAGATACATGCTGTCCCCAGCCAGAGAAGCCCAGGAGGTTCTGGAGTGAGCCACTTCTTGTCTAGATCCAACTCCACCTTTCCCTGAGCCCCTAAGCCAATCTTTTCCAAGGCTCTCCGAGTCAGGCTTCCTGAATGAACAGGATGAACACTTAGCCCAACTAGGTTCTGGTAGAAGGATATGTAACTTTGAAAGAACATGCAGCATTTAAAGGACAAAGGGGAGGGTCTTGCAAGGCTGAAAAGGGATAGCTAGAGAGGTAGAAGTGGGGCCAACGAGGAATTTCCAGGGAGGGATGATGTACAGATGCTCCAGAAAAAATAAGTAGGATCACATGCACAAGGCAATCACGGGGAAATGGCAGCAACTCTGGCAAGCACACTTTGCATAAAGTGGGAAGAGAAGGCATCCTAGGCTACGGGAAAAAGAAGTGAGCAAGTATACTTGCTCCCATCCCCGAATCTCAGTCCAGAGCACAGGGATAAGGGCTCACTTTGCCTTCATCCTTCCTACCTGGAGCGGGCCTGGAAATTCAAAAGGGGGAAAGGGATCCATCAATCAGGCAAAGGGGAGAGTCACCTGAATGAGGGCGAGGTTACTACTGATGACTCTGTGTTGCTCCTGGGGGTCATCAATTTGTCCAGTGTTGGCCTAGCATGGAGAGAGAGGGGCAAAGAGTAAGTATGGCTAGGCCCAAAGCTAGGTCATTCTTTCCAGGAAAAGACAGTCCCTCAGGAGAGTAATCAGCAAATACCATTTCATTGTCGTTAAATTATTCTAATCAGCATTCCAAACAGTGACTTGGGAGTGTAGCAGTAAAGACACAGGTACCTTTAAGAAACAGATGGTGCCATGAGCCATGTCTTCCATGTCCAAGAGTGCACACACATGTATATACATGCATACACAAGCATGTCACCCACAATTTTAGGGCCATCTGACTGCCAAGTTCATTCACAGACCAAAGAGGAAGGACATCTCTGTGAGCTTGGCCTGCGTCCTCAGCCAGATCTTTGGCCATGTTCTCCAAAACACCTGTAGTTCCCTTCTTCCTGCTCCAGTGAGTCACATTTCAAAGGACCACCAACCACCCCAACTTTATCTCTGCAACTGATCTTGTTTCAGAAATGCATTTAAGTCCCTCTTCTCTTAGGATAAAAAAAGAGGACCAGAAATACAACTTTCTCCTTTAAAAATGGTAGTCAGCTCCAAATATCAGCATTTGCCAGCAAAATTCTGTACGTAGATAAGAAAAAGTTTCAAAACAAATATATTTTCTTAGTTCCTTTGTACTGAGTTTATTAAGTTCCTAAACACCACTGGAAAAAATATAATCACATTTATTTGTACAAAAGGGGGAGGCTTTTTGTCTTCAGTTTGACAGATGTCTGAGATATATCTCGTAGCCTGAGTCACCTCTTCCTACAGACAAACACCCACCTCAAAAGTCCTTGTAGGAAAAAGGGCACAATGTGGAACGGAACACAGCTGCAGACTCCACGATGTGCCCAAAACACAAGGCCAGCACGTTCATCCTTCCTCTCTGCTCCAGGCCTGCATGGTGTGCTCCTGGGGCTCAATGTTTCCTATCAATCAACCAATTCCAAGGCTGGTGCTGCTTTTATCAGATAAAGGGTTTGCTGCTGGCTTATGACCCCTGAGTACGAATCTGAAAGATATTCCTTTCTCAAGATGTTTTATTTCTATCTTTGTAAAATGGTTAAAATATACAAATATATAACCTGTATGACCCATGCAACAGCCATTTTTCTGTGTGAAGGCGCCTGTTGGTGCCCATAGGTACATTACAGAACAGGGAGTAGAGAGTTGAGGAAGCTTGGAGATCTCACAGAGAGGAGGGAAGAAGAGTGCCAGAGGGAAAGAAGCTGTGGGAAGAGGTAGTATGTTAAAGAACTAGGATTTTGGAGTATTCAGAAGCATTTATAGGCCAGCAGATGGGCAGCTGCATGGGATGGAGATGAAGGTCAGTGGAGCTAAAGTTGTCCAAAAATTGGGAGGCTTGAGTTTGAATGAATTATACATGTGGATACTGAAATAATCCAGGATGGTGGTGGGATTTGGTATGGAGATGAACACTGTTAGAGGGCCCACTTTCCAGGCCTGTAGGGGGCTGACTGAGTGGAAAAGGAGAGGAGGGAGCAGGACAGGATGGTGAGAGTGCAGCATGTCTACTAGGCCAGCAGGATAAACCATGGGTAGGGGTCCTCAGGGGGCAGGTCTCCATCAAGGTAGAGGGACATTTCTTAACTTTGGATGGTGGTCCTTCAGATATCAGGGTAAGAGCTTGAGGAACAGCACCGGTCTAAGCACAGGCTTGGTGGCTTTTTGCTAAGACTGCAAAGAGAAATTTTGTGGGAAGTTGGAGCATCCTTTATAGACATAAATCCAAATTCATTTCAACAGAAGAGGTTAAAGGAAGCCCTTCCTAAATGTGTATTTGATTACATATATTTACACATTTTAAATCTGTTACCTCCTAAGTATAGGTTTCTATAAGAAATCCTCTGGGATCCTCTCTCAGTTCTAGATTTTCTAATCTTTCCTTATTGCCTGCATGAAACAGTCTGCTCTCACTGATTCAGATCATAGTGTGGTGGATATTCTCCAGGCACCTCTCTGGCTCTAGGTTGTGCCTGGAAGGCTGACCTGTGTGGCTGCATGTACAAGTTCCCTTATCATATTGCTTCTGCTTGGTTCTGGCCAATGGGGAGCCATGGAAAGATACTGGAGAGCCAGAAGAGAGTGAGATTGGGCTGTGTATATCTCTCTGTCCTTCCCACTGGCCAGTGGCTGCATTCCTTCACCTAGACCTGCAGCTCCAGCCAGATGGCCTTCTCCTAGAGCTACAGGATCAACTGTTACCAGTTCCATAAAAAAACCTACTTCCTGTCCCTTTAGGCCTTGAGTAATCATTACTTTCCATTGTTGCCAGTCATGGGGTGTTTCCCTGTACCTTTTTGGTTCCCCATTCCCTTGCCCACAACTTGATGAATGAACTCACTATAAACTCTGCTCAAATACAATCTGTGTGCCACCTCTTTCCTGCCAGGATCCTGACTTACACACTAAGTTATATCTTCAGGAGAACATTTAGCCCATTCACAGTAAAATACATTTGTCACTCTTTTGTATATTTTTTTTCTAATAACAAAAAATATGTATATTTACTAGGTTAAGATGGAGGAGTAAACATAAGTTTTGTTATTTTTCTCCTTACCAAAATTGGGAGTAGGGAAAGACAACCTTTTCATTTGTTCCAAAATTAACACAAAGTTTCCTGTATACCTTTTCCCCAGCTTCTCTGGATACTAACATCTTACACAACCACGGGACAATCATTAACTACTAAGACATTAACACTGATTGGTATGACACTATTGACTAAACAAGAGAATGTGTTTGGACTTCCCCAGTTTTTCCACTAATGTCCTTTTTCTGTCTCAGGAAATAAATCAGGATGGTCCATTAAATTTAGTTATCACCATCTCCTTGGTCTCCTCCAATCTGTGACAGTTCCTCATCATTTGTTGTCTTTTTATGACCCTGAACCCTTTGAAGAGCACTGATCAAATATTTTGCAGAATGTCATTCAGCTTGGGTTTGCTCATGTTTAAACTGAGATTATGGGTTCTGAGGAAGAAGACTGCAGCGGTGAAGTGGTCTTCTCTTTGGTATCGGGGGGTGCATGACACTAATGTGGCTGATTACAAGTGATGTTAACCTTGATCACAGGGGAAGGTGGTATCTGCCAGGATTCTCCACTGCAAACTTAACTATTTTTCCCTTCCCACACTCTGTTATTAGGATTCATTAGGTCCAGTCCACATTTGGGGAAGGGAATTGAACTCCAGCTCCTAGAAGACTGCATATCAAGGATTTGAGGACATATGCTAAAACCACCACAGCAATTCACAAATATTTGAGAGGATACTTTGAGGCTATGCAAAGATCCTATTTCTCCTAAAAATGCTACCCACTAATTCATCAGCAGATTTTGCCTGCAACAATGATCACTGTGGGATTTTAATGGCGATTTTATATTTCTGTCTTTCCACATTTATTAAATTTTTCTCTAAGGTACAGTTGTACTTTCTCTCCCATTTATTTATTGACTTACTTATTTATATGATATATAAGGACTCATGGGTAGTTATTTTATTCTTGAGGTCATAAAACAGTAGTATTTACCTTGTTGCTAAAATTGCTCCAAATGTGGGCAATGCGAGCTCTTTCAGATTGGTTCCTACTTCTTTCTGACATGCCTCACATTCATTTTAGCACCACCTTACTTTCTGGCGCTATCAGATTCCAGACTCATCTTGTATTTTCCCTTGCCCCAGCCATTTTCTCAAGGATACTGGTTCCTTTTATTGGAGAATGGTATCAGAAAACAAGGTCTGGGCACCAGATATATATGGTGCTACTGGGGTAGTATTGCTTCTAGATCCTCTTAGTGGGTAGAGCTAGGAAATGTATACATGTATATTAACCCATGTATGTATGCATAAACATCCATATTTATTTTTGTATTGATCTGCATACATATTAAAATAAACATGAGTTCATACTGATTTCTCTGCCTCCAATCCAGTATCACAGGATTCATTCTAGCATTGAGGAGACAAGTTTTTTCATTGAGGAGACAGGTTTTTGTTTTTTTGTTTTTTTTAAGAGTGCTAGAAAACAAGAAGAGTTACCTATAGCGTAACACAGATTATGAGGAATCTCTGATCACTGGAAGGCAGATGAGAGTTAGGTTGACAGAAGAACCATAACCTAAAATTAAAGCAGGAAAGGCATACTGCACAAAGCAGAGGTGATGCTGGGGACAATGGGAGCAGAAGAGCGGCTAGGACAACTGAAAGAGTATTTGGTTTGGAAAGCAATGCAGGAGATTTAAGGAGGGCTGGCCTCTTCCCTTGCCTGCCTGGTTTCTGCAAACAGTGGGACCTCTGGCCACCTGGGTCCAAACAGAAGCATCAACAGTATGTGTCTTGGGGTAATAAAAAGAGCAAAGCAGTGTTGGGAAACATCCCATCTGGTTTCAGGGACTGTAGACCCGCTGACAGGTTAGAGGGCCCCAAGGCTGGAGCTAATCAAGGAGGCCTTGGGAAAACAGGCCACCGAGGAAACAAAACCTGTCCCCCTGGCAGGGGCACAGCTCCTGCCTCCCTCACATCACCCTGTGATGGTCAGTTGTTGACAGGTAAGTTTCCTCATGAGGAGAAACAACCTAAGATAGACATTGGCCGGTATGGGCAGCAGACAAGGACTTGGGGGACATGGAGAAAGGGCAAAAAGGCCTGCACCCCTCGGCGTGGCTTGGACATGGCCAGAGTCCTCATTCTATCTGAAAAAGTCTCCTTGTCTCTTGGTGGCTCTGCCCTGCCCGCTTGGCTCAGGCTTGGAACAATAAATGCAGGTACAGCCCTAAATTGGATCAGGCCTTTCCCTGGGACAATCAGGCCTAGAATTAAGTTCCTCTGAGCATGCTTTGTTCTTCCCTCAAAAGCAATGAAAACTGGCTCATACTGGGAAGAGGATTTACATTATTCATAGACTCTGACCTGAGGCAGATCTCCTGTGTTCCTCCAGTTGTTATCCATGATCTCAATTTGTTTTCTGTACAC